AACAATTAGAGTGGAGTCCACATGATCGTTTTGATCGTGCATCAAAATTACCTTCACTTGTTAAACAAGATTTCCATTTTCGTAATGTTTCTTCATCTGAACTCGCTGCTTTATCTGATAATGATCGAACAATGCGTTGTCCAACCTTTAAACATCATCAAGAACATCAACATTATAGTCATAATTCGTCATTTAGTATTGCAACATCTACTCAAACTTTAGAAACATCTACTGGTACAAAAGCGATTGTTATAACTAATCAAGGTTTCCTACCGAAGAGTAAACGTTATCAATTAGTTCGATTTGATGTACATTTGTCAGGTCCTATCAATGAAAAAGATGTTTTTTTAATTGGTCTTATCGATGAACCTGACACAAAACAATGGGAGACATTTCAATGCTCAACGGGAACTTGGGCTTTTAATGTTTGTAACGGTTCAATTCAATATCCATCTGGTGACACACGTCCTTATACATGTTCATTGAAAAGATTAGAACGAATTCGTCATGTAGATATATTATTCGATACTCAGTATCATCGTTTGGCATTTCGTATAGATGATTATACTGAAGATCATTGGGCTTTTTGTTTACCTAAACAAATACAAATCAATCAATTATATCCTTTTATTTATCTGCATAGTATGAATATGTCGGTATCCATTGCTCAATAAATGACTACATTTACTTTATCACAAGACAAAATATTTTCATTCTATAAAGATTTTTTTTCTTCATTCCTTTCATTACTAACATGTAAATTTATGTAAATATATAAAGTTTTGATAACAACAAAAAGTGTGGGTTTTTTTAAAGTCCTTTTCTGGGTAAAAAATCTCATTTTTTAACTATAAATTACTCATCATATTCATCCATTTCACACAAATCCAACATTAATGGAAAAACCATTTTGGAAATATATGATTTCTAATCTACATTTCACTGCATATCATGCTCGTCAATTGAATAATGAACATGAGAATTTCAAATTTATAATGATGTTGTTGTGATAGAAAATCCTCGTATGGTACCTGTATTTTATATGTATACATTACCTGCGCCAGACAATTTTCCATTGAGTGCAAAACGAAAAACTCGTCGGTCAGATCCGGAAATTTTAGGAACATCAAATCCAAATGATGTGACAATTTATGGATATCCTGAGAATATTTTTCCTTCATGAATTCTGATCGTCGAAAAGAAACTCATGTTTATCGTCTTCGTCTATCTGATTTTAGTATAGAACGAATAAAAACAACAGGTAATGGACCAATTGGATGTACATATAGTTATCATGCAAAATTAGAAACAATTAAAGATCGAAAAATGATTAAAACTACTTTGAAAGATCATCAAAGTTATCGATTGGATATTGAAACTGCTCAATGGACAAGAATGAAAAAATGAAATAAAAATTTTATTTGTTAATCTTTTTTTCGTCCAACATCTAAAAGAATATTTGTAAAACCAATATTTAGAATTGTATCTATATCATTTTCTTCTTTAATATTCATAATCCCAGCATAATCAGTTCCACCAACTGATTTTCTCGAATGATTTGATAATAAAAATATTTCTTTTGATCTTGGTATTAAATGAATATATTTCTTTGTAATAAGAACATTATAAGAAGATTTTGCTCCATCGAAATGTTTTCCTTGTTTAAAATGAAACATTTTATCTAAAAGTTGAATAAATTTATTCATAAGATAATTTCCAAGTTGATCTAATTGTTCAGGTATATGAAGAAGAGATATAACAAAATGAGCCCATGGAACTTGTCTAAGTTGATTCGCTTGTTCATATTGATTTTCATCTTGAAGATAAGTATCAATGGGAGGTTCATTGTCTTCAACTGGATAAAATTGAATATGTTTATGTTTTTGACTTGCACCTGATTCTTCACCACAATTAAAAAATGCAATCAGTTTTGTTGTTTTATGATTCTGAAGAATTTCATAAATTAATGTTAAATCATCAGATGATAAAACATCAGATTGTTTTGCAAAATCTTTAAAGATAAACAGAATCTATTAAAAAGAATATTCTTCTTTCTTTATTAACATACCATGTGGTAAAAGAAGAAAATGATTTTTTGTTAAAGGATATTTATTTAATAAAACAACATATGTTGTTTGATTTAATCCATAATTTGATATATCACATACATGAAGATTTCCATATGGAGGAGAAAGAAAATCTTTACCGATTTTCTCTACATCATCTCTTACAGGTTTTTTTTCTAAACCAGGAACATATCTGATTTGATACTAAAGAAATAAATTAGAAAAAATGCTTTTCTTGTTTCTTAAAAGCAAATATTTACTGAACATCCATCAATGAACTGTTCGGTTATTTGAAATCCTTGAAAAATAATATCACCATTTTTTAATGCATTTTCAAATGTAGTTATAACGAGATTTTCGATATTTATCAATGAATCTGATATCATTTTATATTGAAAAAGTATTGAACACTATTAAAATTGTAGTTCGATTATAAAAAAAAACAAATCTAATCATTAAACAGAAAAAGAGATGTCGCATCGCGAAAGTAAAGATAAAAATCGATTTTTTTCTCTTTTTTCTCCAATAAATAAAACCAGTATGAAACAATGTTGAGGAAACCTCAAACGCATCATGTTTACCCCCTATCATTATTTAGAGCTCTTGACAAATTATATCTACTCCAAAAACACTAGGTAAGACGAGTTATTTCTAAATGAATTTTTGTTTGTATCTAGCGGGATAACGATCGTAATCAACCTCATGAATCTATAAGAGATACAGACATCAGTATTTTCATAATCCTAAAACTATTATTCATCTGAGACATATCTAGGCAATTTTGGTTTTTAAATACGGTTTTTGTGCATTTTCAGACCTTTCTCAACGATGCTTTGTTAAAAAGCTACGATTTGGTTCAAAACTTGAGGGTGGGTGTGGGCATAGGTTGTATGCCCAAACCTTCATCCAGCTACATCCACACCTTGTTCGGGTGCAGGATTTGAGAAAAGACAAAGAGTTGTTCAGTTGTAGTTTTCATCCGAAATCTGTTTTTATTTTCAAAAAGTTAAAAACCACGAATAACTGTTCCCAACAAAAGAAAACAACAACTGAAGAAGAAAACAAAACAAAAAAAGAGCCATTCACGTAGACAACTATCTATATTAGGAATAAAAGAAGGATAGTTTACCGACTATATAGAGAACGATCATGACAATCTGTCTTCATTCAATTTCGGTAAAAACTCAGTTGAAGCCTTTTTTCATTCATATTGGAAATATTTGTCGTGGATAACCATAATTCTACCCAGGACGATCATTCCGACTATCGAAAACGGGTGTCGGTGAGTGTCGGTATCAATATTTAAATCGTATTCATACCCACACCCTCAATAAGATACACTATTCTTGCTGATAGATTTTAATATTTGTTGATATATTCTTCTACCAATACATTTGCCACTGACTGTATCGATGAGAACGAAAAAAAGATGGCAACAACAACAAAAACATATTACTGTTTTCCTTTTTGTTTATTCGTTGTCAGTGAATTACTTTTGTTGATCACGAATAGTTGTCATATTTGCATACTTTTAGACGAAGCCAAACAAAACCATGTGCACAATGATTCAATGCTACTATCAAGTTTCATCTTTTTTTCGCGAAATGATTTTATGTTTTGTAAGCAACATATACATACACTTTTTACTTTTTGACAGCAAAAAATAGTGCTTATATCTTTAAAAGAGCTTTGAAGACGTGCCAAACTATGTAATTCATAGGCAAAAAGAATAAAAAAGTGCATGTATGCTGTATTTTTATCATGTGAATCTTTGCTGCGTATATATCGAACATTTCTAGCCGAAGGATAATGAGATCATTCCTTATGTAGGTTATCGTTGTCACACACTATAAGCAATATAGTTGCGCCTAATTAGAACTTGCAATTCAGAAAAAAACTATTCTTTATTGTAGTTTGTCTTGTCACCAAATCTGTTTCAATTATTGTTAACTGCTCTTTTATATTTTGTTTCATAATTAATCTTATTGACTATTGTACCGTCGCAAAAATAAAGAACTGAGATTTTTTTGATCTTCTAATTTTTCTAGAAAAGATTTCATTGGACAGTAGTTTTTAATTTATTTAAAAAGTAGTGATATTTTCATACATATGTAAAAAGATTAAGAATTATAATAATGATTATTTTTTGTACTTATTTGAAATTTAGGGTGTGTGTGTGTGAGGGTGTGGGTGTGGGTGGGTGTGTGGGTGGGTGTCGGTGTGAGTGAGGGTAAGAGTGAGGATATTGGTGTTTGTTTGAGTGTGAATATGCGCGTGCGTATGTTCCATACTCATCCCGAAACCCACATTTACACCCACTCCTTAAAAATACAATCTTGAAAATGTGGTGTGGGTAGGCGTGATTTAAGACAAGACCAATGCACACCCACACTAGCGGCGGCGCCAGGATTCTTGACTAGGGTGGGCTCAGGTCTAAAAAATTTCAAACAGGGTGGGCTCAGACAGAATATCATTGGCTTTTTTAAGATCAGAAATTTTTTTTAGGGTGGGCTGAGCCCACCCCAGCCCACCCTTGGCGCCGCCACTAATCCACACCCGCACCACACAATACTCATATCGAAGTGCTGTAAACCATCTTATTGTATCATGATTTTGGACTGTCAAAACAAAAAGTATTTTCGTTGAAACAGTCACTCACATATGTGTTTTTCATTCTACGATGTGCGTATTTTTTCAAATTGATGAAATGGCAGAACAGAGGAGTTCTTGAATGATTTGCCTTTGTGAGTAAACATATGACATTTGAAATGATGGTTACCTGTGTGAAAAGCAGTGCGCATTAGAAATTGTTTTTCGAGAGAAAAATAAAATGATTTCATTCTCATCTCCAGCAACATCTATATAAAGAGCGTTAAAATCAGTTCCACATACAGTGAATTTTATTTGTTTGAATTTGAAATACTTCCTATAACGATGAAAATTTTCAGTTTAATTTTGGTATTTTTCTACTACATTATAGTTTTAGTGTAAGTACTCACTATTGTATTTAGAATATTAAATTCATTTTCATCTTTCTCTATAATAGAAATACTTCAGAACAACAACAACAACAACAACTACCCAGTAATTAGTTTAGAATTATTTTCATTCTTTTCTCTTGTATTTCTGTTAGATAGTACAACGATTTCAATATGTAATTTCACTGCATGTAACTCTCAACGGACACTATGTTCATCCAGTCGTAATTGTGAATGTTTTTCATTGACGATAAGTCCAAGTGTAGGAATTTGTGCGTCAGCTGTGTTGTCTTGTACCGATGTTGTCCGATGCAATACGGATAATCGAACATGTCCTATTGAAAATACAGTCTGCGTGAACAGTACACGTTGTGGACAACCAGTTTGTTATCCATTAGCTTTGGCAAATAAACTCGTGTGTCCAATAAATACAACAGGTAAAAGATTGAGAGATACTCAAAATGATTTTTTCATTTTTTTTCTTTGAATAGCTGCGACAACAACTACGAGTATGTACTTTACCATTCGGTGAATTTGCATTTCTTACTTAGATCTCTTTTATAGCACATGCAGGAGGCGTTACAAATACAACTAGATCTACAACAAAAGGTAAGTGGGATTTTGATGTGTTCCTAGTTAGATCAAGGTTTACATACATGCATAATTGAAAGATCTTATTTGCGTTTTCAACTTTCTGGCTATTTCACTAGTCACAATGAGAAGGTAAGACTGTGGGTAAGGCGTTCGGGAGCTTACCATCTCCCCCTCAGGGAAGCCCCTCTTACTCACAATTTTGCCTCCTCCATTGTAATTTGTTGAATACTAGAAAACTCGAAGATTCGAATTAGGGTGTGAGTATGAAAAAATGAAGAAGACAACACACTCACAGCCACACCCATACGCACTCTAGATATCTGTGTATTTATTCAAACGTTTACACAAAAATAAAAATAAAAATCTATTCCAAACTAATGATGATCATTTTCCTAGAAAAAGAATTAGAAATTAATTTGAGTAGTTAGACAGATAGATATAATTTTAGATAGTTGAAAAATTTTGAATATAAATTTGTTCTAGCTATCACTACAACAGACTCCCGTTTTACACCATCAACAGTTAATTGCAGTAGTATTGTGGCAACAAGTAAGTTTTGTTCGACTATTTATCTGATCATATTGTTCATTTTCTTAGATTGTACGACAACAACATCGATTGTTGCTGCTTGTCAAAGTTATGAGGTATCATGGAATAATCATTGTTATTATCTCGATGGATCAAATGGCAGCTGCATAACTGGTTATAGCCTAGCAACGAATACTGTTTTAAATTGCATTAGTTCTCTATTTATTGGAAAAAATTATCGAAATACCACATCAGATAATTGTTGTATCTGGACAACAGATACATATGAATGTTTTGGATTCAATGCTGATTGTAACAGATCAGGACCTTTTACTGAAGCACCGATATTGGGTGGTGCTAATTGCATTAACCAAGTGCTTCGTTATTCTCAACAGTTAACATTTTGTGGCAGTGATTAAGAAGACAAAGATCTGCTATGATTACGAACTCTGTAACGAATTTTTTTTCAAACTGAAAAACTAATAAACTTGAAATTAATTTGGTGTGTTTGTTCATTAGAGAGTGAATGTCGTCCTAACAACACCCTCACCCACACCCACCCTCAAATAACAGCAATAAATACATGTAAACTATCTATATCGTTCCAGTTTTAAATAACATAATTGCTTTTAAAGAATATATTTTTGTTTGTCTGTTAATAATCAATACAAGAAAAAAAAA